TATTTGTTGGCTTTCTTACTTAGGGTTTTCAAAGCCCTTTACTCTCATCTGTCTCATAGAAAAGACTCTAAAATTTTGAAAGATATTAGAACCCAAGGCTACCTTGTCCTGACATTTAACATCAGAAAAAGCCTCTCTGTGAGGTCTTCAGCTTTGCTCAACTCTGTTATCACTGAGATAGGCTTTCTTGGGTCAGAAGCAGCCAGAACATGCACAGTAGCATGCATTGGATGTCCATGCAAAGCAAATATGACCAAAAGAAACTGAATGAAAACCAGAAAGGGAAGCATTTAGGGAATGGAGGAGACACTGGCGAGGAATTACACACTTGGCTTTAAAGAGATACGATCACCATCTCAGTCTATGGACAAGAGAATTTCATGTTCAGAGAAAACATTTTACACAATTTTTTTTTCTAATTAAATTGGAACAAACCAATGCTCTTGCCTTCAGCATGCTAATAAAATGAAAAGTGTAAAAGCCACATAGAGGCCATGCATCTAACAGAGGCTTGGAGTCCTCACAGGTGGCGGAAGTGTCTCTAGAGCAGGGCACGGCTCTCCATGATCTGCGGAGAGAGGAGCTAGAACACGCTTCCCACCTCTGCACTAAGTCATCCACCACCCAGGAAGATCCTTAGGAGGCTCTGTAGTTAATGTTCACCAGCTGCTTTAATACCTTAGGATTAAAAAGGGCCGAACTCAAAGGAGAGGCTGGGCTGGACCTTGGAAGGCGAAGGCGGTCAGAAATCCAGCCGCACAAGTCTGATGGCTTGTTTTCAACATTTATTTAACCTCCTCTGCTATCAAGAACCCTGAGAGAGCTCCGAGGAAGTTTACACTGAAGGAAACGGAGAAAGTGGGCATTGTTTTTGAGTTGTTTTGTTCAGGCTCCTGGATGGCAAGGGTGTGCGTTTTCTAATCGTGAAACTTGGCTCAGCTGGTGCAGATGTTGTAGGTTTCAGTCCCGTAGCCTACTAAGATTGGGTAGCCTGCCAGGCTGCCTTGGAAAAAGCAAATACTGTGAAAGCCCTTGAATCATCTTAAATCTTGCCCTTGAAATAGTTATAAATGAACTTGGCCTCTATCCAACCCAGGCCAGCGAAGAGAACATGCCAGGGGGAAATGTTTTTGTCCATGCTGAAATGACCAGCTGTCACTGCGTGCCAACAAGTGGTGGGCACAGAACTGCCGGGTCTGTGGGAATAAGCAAACAGTCCTGTTTTCTCCAGAGAGACTTGCCTCACCATGCTGCATATTGACAATTGTGAGCTATATTTGCAAAGTGGTTTGTGTGCAGGCAAAGCATCCACTAGGGTAGGGGCAAATATTTACCCCAGCAGGTCGCAGGGGCCACTGCACAGAGCTCATTCTCCATGGTAACTCAGGATATGACATTTCAAAGTACTGGTTTGAGAGGTGAGCATTTGTGGCACACAAAAAAAAAAATTCTGTGATTAATGTTTATTTCAAAGCCAGGGTGATATAAGTTACTATTTACACTGATGTGAGAAAAGGTTTGGGCGATGCCGTGTGAGCAGAAGGGTTATAGGCATAACTTTTGAGTGTGGGGTACATGGGTTTAAATTAGCTTGATCTCCGACCCTACATTAGCTTTGATCCAGTCTGGTCTTTAGTTGATCTGTTTGAAATAGCTTCCTACCAGTTAAGGAAACTGCTATTTTTAGTCCTGAATACTAAGAATGTCAACCTAAGTACTGTATAACTAATTCAATATCATTTTGAGCTGCATTAAAATGACTCTGTATTCTGTGTTAATATGAGAACGCATTGGAGCAGTTATACTAAGTGCTAAAGCAAGTATATTTTTAAAAATAGGCAAAAAAATGAATAGAGGTATTTATTTTTCTCCATCTGAGCTTTAAAAAGAAACTTTTATTAGGTATATTGTTTCCATATTTCATGACTTAAAATATTTTAACTTTATAACAGTAAGGACTGGTGTATGTGCACACACGCACACACACACTAAAGATACTCAAGATTGTGCAAGGGTGATTATTTTTAGCAGCTTTTGAAATGGAGAGTCTAGACCATGTCGTCTATTTGTTTCATGGAGAAGGCTCATCATGCTCATACCACACCTGTTATGTACTAGTGTCCCTTAGCACGTACCACATACTGACCCGTTTAACTCTTAGGCAAACTTAATGGGTCGGTGGATCTCAACATAGATGTTTACATTATGATTCCTAAAGCATCAAAAGTACAGCTTTGAAATAGCAACGGAAATAATGTTCTAGTCGGGAGTCAGCACACATCAGGAACCGTGTTAAAGGGTCACAGCACTGGGAGGGGTGAAGGCTAGTGTAATACATGGATGTGTTTCGGAGATCTACTTTACTTGACGGAAGCCCAGAAACCCAGAGGATTTAATAATTGGCCAGATCTCACATCTACTAAGTGGCAGAGCTGGAGTTAGAGCCTTGAGTGTCTTCATAGAGAATCGTCGCACTTGGCTACTTTGCTAACCTGGCAGTCAAAAGAGGAAGTCTATCCCTGCATCAGAATGAAGCCGTACCCTTTCAAGTCTCGCCTTTACCACCCCGCTGAGCATGCTTCTTGTTGACTGGTGCTGCACACAATTATGATTGATGTCCATTACAGTGAACTCACAGGAAAATAAATTCTGGGTGCTGTTTGAGCATTAGTGACTCCATGATTCTTAATGCAGTCTTCATAGTTGAGAGGGTTACAGTGAACGGGGTAAAATTGGCCGTTAAAATGTGCTGTTAACTTGAGCTCCCTGCTTCAACGTGCCACATCAAAGAAATACGAAGGAGTTTGGAAGCTTGCTTTTAGGATGATCACTTTTAGCTTAGTGAGAATATCAGAGCTGGAAGGGAGGACTGGAGAGGGGCACAGTCGTTCAGAGCATTTGCTGTCCTTGCAAAGGACCTGAGTTCGGTCCCAGTATACACGTGGCATCTCACAAACTTCTGTAACTCTAGTCTAAGGAATTTGATGCTCTCTCCTGGCCTCCCTGACTGGCCTCCCTGACTGCCAGGCTCCTTTCTCTCTCTCTTTCTCTCTCTCTCCCTCCCTCCCTCTCCCTCTCTCTTTCTCTGCCCATCTCCCTCTCTGTCTCCCTCTCCCTCTTTTCCCCTACCCTCCCCCCCCTTTCAAAAGAATAGCAATGTACTTATTCTCTTCACAAGGAATCCTACTAACCTGGGCAATACTACAAGTTTATTTTTTAAACAATGTACACAGCATTGTGACATCTCTCAAGCCTTCCCATTGAAGCCCTTTCTGGCTTGAATCGTAGGAGACGAGAGTAAGGGAAGATTGAGGAGTGGGAAGGACAAAGCCTAAGGACAGTGTAAAAGAGTACTTTTTACTCAGTTTTTTTTTTTTGTTTGTTTGTTTGTTTAGTTGGTTGGTTGGTTGCTTTTGTTTTTGGTTTTTCGTCTTTTTTGTTTGTTTGTTTGTTTGTTTCAGACAGGGTTTCTCTGTATTGCTTTGGAGGTTGTTCTGGAACTTGCTCTGTAGACCAGGCTGGCCTCGAACTCTGGCACCTGCCTCTGCCTCCCAAGTGCTTTATTATGTTTTTGTATTTCTAAATTTCTGGTGCTCTGGTGGCTGTGACTGCTAACACTCTCATTTGTCTACCACACTGGGTCTCAGTTTCTTTTTGACAGAGTATGTAACCAAAACTCCCTCTATCCAGGTTTTCAACAGAAACACGATCTCAGTTTAACAATAGAAGTTTCTGTCTTATGTACTTATTCTGAATTATGATTATGATAGTGATGAATTCAAGCCTTCCAACAAGAGTAGTGACATGCTATCTGCAACATGGGAAAGGATCATTTCAGGGGTAGTGACTGCCCTTTTTAATATCGGGTACACATTCAGTCCACATGTCTAGTCCGCATGTCTAATAATTTACAGTGTCTGAGGCCTCAGCTCAGGTTTGTCAGAAGTGTAACTCCTTTACTTTAAGAGCTTGAGTTATGTTCTTGTTTGTTTGTTGGTTTTTGAGACATAATCTAACCAAACTAGCAGGACTTTTAGACTACACTCCCTTCAAGAAATAATTCATCCTTCATTTCTATTCTCTTCTAGTCAACTTTGACACAGGGGACTATCTTTCTTATTGGGGTCTTCCTTGATGGTAGACACAACAGAGAACCAAGCCATCTTATTGAGTTCCCCAAAAGATACAGACAAGAAGCATCTTTTTTTGGACTTGGGGACACATTCCCCATAGAGGGATGCTCCCTTAGCCTAGAGACAGATTTTGATGACCCCTCCTGGAAGGCCCCACCCTCCCTGTGGAGTGTGTGGGGAATGGGATGGGAGGAGGGTGGGGGACTGGGAAGATGGGAGAGAGAAGGAACAGGGATTGATATATAAAATAAAAAAATAATAAGTAAAATAAAAAAGAAGTATTTTTCTACCTGTGGAGACTAGTACTATAATAATTTCTTTAAAGCAGGCCATTCTTACCCCCACTAGGAACCCACTTTCCAATCTTTTCTATTCATTTTAACCTCTTTTTTTTTTTTTTTTGAGACAACAATTTTTATTATCACTGCCCAGCTCGTATGTGCAGATGATATACCAAATGGCCAGATCTTCTAAAGAACATCTACATAACATTGCTTTCATGTTTCAAGAGATGAAAATAACTGTACAAGGTTAAGTACAAAATTGCATAAGACAGCAGACACGAGGCCATCTATGCGTGAGATTTCATTCCACCCGAAACTTTAATATATTTGAAAAGTAGAATTCATGAACTAAAAAATATTGTCCTTCTATAGTCCTGTCAAGTTTAATGGAAGTGAGTTTTACCTGATTACAACACTAACACCTGTATCACTGAGCTATTTACAAAAAAAAAAAAATCGTATTTTTCAATAAATTAAAGTCAATGCAACACCCATGCAAGCTAGCTAGAATACTAGATGCTTGGTGAACAAGGACCCAACATCAGAACAAGTCTATAAAGTCCCAAACTGATATTTTCCAAACTGTATCCATTCCACGCACTGAAGATGTGAAACCCAAACCCATTCCTCCCTGTGTGTGGGTTTGTGATCTTGCCATTTCATACTGAGCATCAAGATTCCGAAAAACTTCTTGTTGCTTCAAAGTCGTGTAACTTTCTTCATCAACTGAGCTACAGTCAGCTTCATCTTCACTCTTAATGCCCATCAACTTCCTAAATTTGACATTTTGGTCCTTGTTTCCAAAATTTAATTTTTCCCATATTTCAGCAGACTGAGATTTGTCTCCGTCTTTCTTGCCTTGCCAGAGCATTTTCCTCTTTTTCTCTCGCTCGGCAAACTTCATACGATTCACAGCGGCTGGGTTATAGTAGCTGGGTACAGCTATGCCAGCCTCTGCCAAGGCTTTCGCTTGCAGGGCTGCCGTTTGAGCTGCTGTTTGAGCTGCCATAGCTATCTGAGGAGTCCCTTGTGTTCCTGATGCTAACAGTGCAGCAAAATTGAGAACAGGACCTCCAGTGGCGGCAGCTGCTGCAGCCCTTTCTTCTTGTATTTTTGTTTTTCAACCATTTCCTTTTCTCGCTGTTCTTGTAATTTCTTTGCCCTTTCCAATCTTCTAGCTAAAGCTTCCTGGGCGTCCATTGCTGTGTTTCTTCCTCTGAAGGGAGGTGGACTCGGTGTCCGGCTTAGACTTCTGCTAAACCCTCTTGGTTTTTCAATTCTCTTCTTTCTACCTCGGCTTCGACTCCTTGATCTGCTCCTGCTTCTAGTTCCATGCCTGTGTCTGGACCTTGATCGGGAACGTGTTCTAATCCTTCGTTTTCTATCCCTGCTTCTAGATCTTGACTTCTTCCTATCTCAGCTTCTGGATCGAGATGTTTTTCTATCCCTACTCCTGGAACCAGACTTCTTCCGCTCCCTGCTTCTACTTTGATGGTGCCTTTCAGGAGATCTGGATCTTGAGTGACTTCTGCCTCGCGATGACTTCCTTTCCTTGCATTCGTGTCTGTCCTCGCCATTTTCAGATGAAGTTAATCGCTCTCCTCCTCTCTCAGAAGAATGTCCTTTGTCACTGTGCTCCTCAGACTTATGTCTCTTAGAGGACTTATCTTTGGATTCATGTCTTCTTGCCTCTTTGCTTCTGCTCCGGCTCCTACGCTTTCTTCCTTCATTATGTGATTTTCGCTTTCTTTCTCTTGACCGTGGCCGTGACCTTGAAAAGCAATGTTCTGAGGTTCTAGGAGAAATAGATACATCTGACTGTTCTGCCTTCTTTTCTCTATCCCGGGGTGTCTTTTCTGGGGCTAGTCCATCTAGTTCTCTATCAGTAGCCGCCACTGTTTTTGAGTCCCGGCCACTAAGGCAGCACCTCTGGTTGACGTGCTCAACAGAACGCTCATTATACCCTCTTAGCAATGCATTGTAAGTGTCTGTAAAGGCTTGGACTTTTGGACTGCTAAAGTCATTTCTAGCTTTAGCAGCAAGAATGAGGGAGTATCTAGGATTGGATCGGAGAAGTTTGAGGAAAATAAATAGTGGAACAGTACTTCACTTATTCCTCCCGTTTTATATGGTGTAGGCAGACTCTGAAGTCAGGCCATAGCAGTGGACAGACCAAGTCACATCGGGTATACTTCTGTGTCCGATTCTCTCGTTGTAAAACACAGTTGGTAACGAGAAGATCATGGGAGTCTTTCAACCATCATATATTTATTTTTAGACTTCTGACACAAATAAATTAAATGTTTCAATTAATTGGTGCTCTCATTTTTTTTTCATTTATTCTTAATAGCAAAGACAGAGGAAAATCTCAGCTTAGCTTTAATCATTAGCCAGATTTGTCTTACTTCTTTTCACCATTTTAAAATCATTGTGCAAGTGGAATGTGATGTGTTCTCAGACTCAAGAAGGATTTATATAAGTTTCAGGAAATAGCCAAGGCTCTCACTTAAAAGCCCAACTCTATTAAATTGGAAAATGCTTTAATTATCTCCTAGTAAATGAAGCAGAGAACATTCTTATTATTTGTCATGAGGACATACAGTATACTGAAAGCAATTCTATGAGAAATTCTTTAAAAAATACTATATAATAACTTTACAAGTATAGGCATATTCAAAAATTTATTTGAAGGGACATTGGCATAAACACATTGCGTTTTGTTGAAGGGCTGGCCAAAAGCAACACATTGTGTTCATTTACGTTCTGCAGTACTAATTCAAATATTGCCACTTTATAATTTTCAAGCAATAAGCATTATAGGAAAGACAATCCTCCATTAGAAGGGTGATTTTGATTTATAACTTTCAATCAAATATTTATATAGCTTTCATGTTACCCATTTAATTTTTATAGCATTATGGGGAAATAATGGTCATGGTAAAAGAAATGCATAAGAGTAGGAAATGATTTATTACCAATCAGAATGTTGTAAATCACTACCATAAAAAAGCATGGTTTGATTACATGAACTGGCTAGTCACAAACAGTAACTAGTTTATTAAAACTCGTTATTAATTGGCTTTAGGTGAGAAGACCGTAAAACAGCTGCTCCCCCAAACTTCTTCTTTAGTCTCTGATGACATCTAATGCCACCACCATGGCCCCTTGATGCACACAGGCAGCCCATCCACCACAGGCAATTATAACAACCTCCAAACTTATTATCAGCAGCCAGAAGGATTCAAACAAAACGCAAATAGTGCATGTTATTTCTAACTCACAAAGCCACACATGATCTGAGCCTCTGTCTGACCTGTTACTCATTGGGCTCATCCTTTTCCTTGACATCAGTCCCTGCTCTTAAAAAAAGAGTTTGAAAGAGGAGGGGAGAAGAGGAGGGGGAGGAGAACATGAGGGATCAGACGATTGAATGGGGAGATGAATAGAGGAGAGCAAGAAAAGAGACACATCAGTAGAAGGAGCCATTATAGGCTTAAAGAGAAATCTGGCACTAGGGAATTGTCCACATCCTTGTGGACAAGGATGACCCCAACTAGGAATCTAACCAATAGTGGGGAGGCTACCTTAAATGCTTTCCCCCTGTAATGAGAATGATAACTACCTTAAATGCCATCCTAGAGCTTTAATTTAGTAGCTATGCACTAAGCCAAATGCCTGAAATCCAGTTGTATTGAGGGAGGAGTGAGGAACAAAGTGGTAAAGGCTACTCTGGGAGAACTCAAAGACACAGGTGACCTGAGCAAGTGGAAGCTCATGGGCCCCAGTCTGTCAGCTGGGGAACCAACATAGGACCAAACTGGACCCCCTGAATGTGTGTGTCAGCCAGGAGAACTGGGCAGTCTATGGAACCAGGATGTATCCCTAGTGCATGGACAGACTTTGGGAGCACATTCCTCAGGAAAGGAAACTCCCTTAGCCTAGGCCCTACCCCAAATGACTTGACAGATTTTGATGATCCCTCATGGAAGGCCTCACCCTCCCTGGGGAGTGGATAGGGGATGGGATGGGGGGACTGGTGGGGGGTATGGAAGGGAGAGGGAACTGGGATTGATATGTAAAATAAGATTGTTTCTAATTGAAATGTATAAAAAAGGACAGGCTTTGGCCTTTGAGAACTACAGCTGGGTGATCTTCCTCACACGCTCGCATACTTTGCTCTTTCCTTTGTTGTATCTTGAGTCCAAAGTAACCTTTGCAATGAGGTCTTTCCCATCCTATCAGTGTTTAATCATTCCAGTTGCTCTCCTTCTTATCTATTTCCCATTAATTCAGTGTCAGTGTATTTATATGTCCAAGATACCTCCACAAAGGTGAGGGGCATTTCTCAGTTCTGTTCACTGTGATATCCCTAGTACCAGGCATGTATTAAGAACTCCACAAATCTCTGTCTCATGAATGAATGCTCATTCTATGTTTGGGAATGTGCTGAGTCAACTAGAGGGGCTATTCTATTTAATTTTACTACAATTCTAAGAACTCATTTATGTTTTGATAGGATTGTTCTGAGTGGCAGCAATAAGTCACTGGCAAATAAGTTGGCATCATAGAGCAGAGTAACTGTGGAGGGGTGATGAGAAGTACTCAAATGTTAAGCAAAAACCCTTAACAAAATGCAAACAGTGAGCTAGACTTAGAAGGAGTTAGAAGCCTGAACAAGCTTGCTGGCTCCTGAGTTGCAGGGCCAGGGTTTAGATGATGCAGGTTCATTCTTAAGTTCTGGGCGTAACTGTACCTACACTGCAGACTCTAAAAGAACCAGTAAGGCTTCCGAGTGACTCTGGCCCATAGCAAACTGTTAGTTTAACAACCTGATTCTTAGAAAGATGTGGTTTATACCTATCAGAAGCTGAGACCTAATGAGATATTGTAAAGCATGTGAGACATCACTAGGTAGTGTAGTAGCTTGGTGTAATATAACTATCCAGGAGCCAATGTTGGTGTGTGTGTGTGTGTGTGTGTGTGTGTGTGTGTGTGTGTGTGTGTGTAGACAGACAGACAGACAGATATAAGGTAGGTTACAGATATATGATAGATAAAAAATAACAAGTAACTTGTATACAACTACCACATTCATGAAGGACTTGAATCATGGTTTTATTTAAGTTTTCTTTTGCTAGAAACACAAATGAAAATATTGTTTGCTGCCTAAGGTAAATTAAAAAAAAAAAAAAACAATAAGAGGTGGTAAAGGCAACAACAAAGGAGAAATCACACACTAGTTATAAATACCACCCTGAAGGTAGTGTGAATTTCATAAATAATTTCTTTAAGTTCCATAAAATTCTGAGGAATGTGACATTTTAGGATTTGATGTGTAATTAATGTGACAACCTGAGCCAACCCTCTGTGTTGCCCTGGAAACCAATTTTGGTAACATAAAGAAGTGCTAGCTGTTAATTGGTATTCAGAGTTAGTAGCTGGTGTCTGTGCTCTGTCTCCATGGTAACCTAGCTGTCACGTTTTTGTCCCTAACACCATGGTAAGATTTCAGATGCATGTGTCTTAAAGCACATGTCTGTAGTCTCTGGCACAATGTCTCCTTATTATCTGTGAATGTAATCATTTGGGGGATGTTAGGGCTGCTGTTGAAAAGTGGTTGCTCCAGGAAAATCTATTTCACTTGTGGAAAGAATGCAGTGTTCATTTTGGAAGATGTATACATTTATGTTTATTGGTTGTCTACACGGAGCTAATTCTCTCTCTCCCCCTCTCTCTCTCTCTTTGTCTCTCTCTCTCTCCCTCTCTCTCTCCCTCTCTCTCTCTCTCTGTCTCTCTCTCTCTCTCCCTCTCTCTCTCTCTCTGTCTCTCTCTCTCTCTTTCTCTCTTTCTCTCTCTGTGTGTGTGTGTGTGTGTGTTTATGATCTGAGTGTTTACATATAAAAATGGGAATGGTTTCTCAAGGCTCTTTTTCTGAAAGTAGAGGTAATAAATACATTTGAGGAATAAATGTCAAATTAGAGAAATGAGACATTTTCCATTTTGAAAGAGTATTCTCACACAGTGTTTGGATAATGTAGAGATACGTCAAGTATTCAATGTTTAGCAACTTCTTTATCAAAAAGCAAGCCCTCACTATTTTTAATTATCTTTCCTCATTTTTCTATTTATTAAACTCTACTTTGCTTTTAACATTTTTAATTTTCACTAATCTTTTCTTTAGCATTGAATGCATTAACCAGAAGCAACTACCTAGTAGTTTTTTGGCTAGAGGCAAGTAAAATGATTCAGATGATGAATAATGATTCCCTTTCGAGACCAGCATCCACATTTAAAGAAATCCAGCTTCATCTGTCAATATGAGGTTTAAAGTTTGGCCTTTTCTTGCACTAGTTTTATGACCACTAGGGGAAGAGAAAAATGTATTAGCAAAATTAAATAAAAATTAAGAAACCCATTATGCTCAGTTTTCAGAGCCAACTGATTAATGTTTATCAGTTTTTACCACACTAATGTTCCTTCCACGGCTGGCTAAAGCTTGCTGTCCGGAACTATGTAGAGACCCTAGTGATCACTGTTCACAAACCAGCTTCAAAACTCTGCCACGCATTTCCAAAGCTTGTTGTGAAGTTTGAAGAAAATTGCTGGATAAAAAGCTATCCCCAAAGATGTTCCGTTTTTGTCTTTTCACCTTTTCTATTCAAAGAGGTAATACTTTTATGGAGCTACAATTCACACACTATGCAATGCACACATTCCCTTTTCTGGTTTTAACATATCTCTAGATGGACTCCATATCTGGTAGTTAATGATGAATTTGCATATGTAGTGGTGTCAGAAACTACCCACAATTTTTGAATACTTCATATTCCATTTCAGCTCCTTTGGACTGTGGGTTGCACCAACAACTCCTCATTTCTATGGATAGCACAAGGCAGAAATGACTGTAGATCACTTCTAAAATGGTATCTTTTTCAAGTATTTTTATTTTGTCCTTGGACTTTCTTTCAGACATTTGACTTTGTAAGGAAAAATCTCTCAAAACACTTGGCAGCTTTTCTATGTCCTTTGCTTTGTGGGAAGGTCAATGTAGCCCAG